TGAAAATGGCTCCTAGTTTTCATACAGATGATCCAACAAAGTTGTGTTACTTGAAGAAGTCTCTTTTATGGTTTAAAGCAAGCTTCAAGATGCTGGTTTCCTAAGTTGACTAGTGCACACAAATTGTTCGGTTTCAAGCAATCTTATTTAGATTACACCCTCTTCACGTACATAAAAGGTGGAAAAATATTGTGAGTACTTGTTTATGTAGATGACTTGGTCATTACATGAAATAATTTGGAAATGTTTAATGATTTCAAGGTGGATTTAAATGAGTGTTTCAAAATGAAAAACCTGAGTAAATTGAAATATTTTCTTGGCATCGAAATAGCTAGAAGACCACATGGTATGTTCTTGTCGCAGGGAAAGTATGCCCTAGACATAATAGCAGAGGCTGGTCTACCCATAACAAGCCAGTGTTTACGTCCATGGAACAAAACAACAAGCTGCTCTCCAAAACATGATCTATATACAAAAATACATCATTGTTTAGGAGATTTGTGGGATGGCTGGTGTACCTTGAAAATGGGTACATAAGCCGAGAGAGGCTCATGGGGACACCATGGTCCGCATACTGAAGTACTTAAAAGGGTGTCTCAGACAAGGAGTCATGTTGAAAGTAGTCAGTGACTTGTATGTACGTGTTTTCTGCGATTCAGATTCAGCGTCATGCCCAAATACTTGCAGGTCCTTTTCAGCATTTGTTATCACTTGGAGACTTGCCAATTTCTTCGAAGACAAAGAAACATGACACTGTATCACCAACACCTTGGTACGTCTTTACTAGTTACTAATTGGTTTACGTAAGATAGTGTTTTTCTAGTGGTGTGCGTTCGGGTATCAATTCAGGTTTGGCTCTGATCTATTCGAGTTTTAGGTTTTTAGGTTAAAGATTTCAGTCCCATTTGGATATTGATTCGGATTTGGTTTCGATCTTTGCGGGTTCGGTTCGGGTTCGGATAACCTATTTTAATTATTTTAAAATTTATTATATATTTTAAATTTCTCAAAATCTATAAAAATAATATATTACATATAAATTTGGATAACATATTTCAAAATACATATAATTAACATATAAATTGGTTTGGTTTTAATATTTGGATAGAAAATCAATAAATATTTCAAATATTTTTGGTGTCATGAGTATACTTTAGCTATGTTAAACATTTATTTTTGACTATTTGTATATATTTTTAAAGTACTTAGACAACTTAATAGTATCTTATATATTTTGGATGTTTTTTTAATATACACTAAATCTAAAAATAATTAATATATTTAGGTATATGAATTTGTTTCGGATACATTCGGGTACCCAAAATACTTCGGTTCGGGTCGGGTTCAATTTTGGTTCTTTAGATACCAAAATTTTGAATCCGTTCAGATATTTAATCAATTTTTATTTGGATTCGGTAGTACTTTTTGGATCGGATTCGATTCGGTTATTCGGATTTGGCTTTTTTGTCTAACCCTAGTTTTTTCACTAGAAAGTCCCTATAAAATTGTGCAGAAATTTAAATAAAAATGTAAATTTATTATTCATATATTTTTGCGCTCTACTAAACCCAAAAAAAAATAGTCAAAATTTAATTTTTGTTAATTTTCTTATTAAGCATTACTTGCAATATTGTCTTTGGGTTTTAAGTCTTAGCACAAATGCTACGGATCTAGATAATTGGCTTGTAGCAAAAATTCTAAACTTCTAATTTGTAGTTTAGGTAAATCCCTTCTTTACTTGTAGAAGTTATGATCTTTTTAAAAGAACAACTTTTAAATTATAGTATTAAACATAAAGAACTTGATTAAATATTAAAGAGAAGCGTTTACCCAATACAACTCAACCCACTCCCCGACATGATCACCTTAATCTTTCTTAGAAACTCTTTAATTTTATTTTGTCAACATATATATTAATTTAATATAAAAAACAATATAAAATACTTCTCAAATGTTTTGAAGTAAGAAATTAAATGTACTCTCTGATATTAATCGATTTGATGTTTTCACGTAGTTCATATGAACAATGTGAGTCATAAGTAAAAATTTAAAATTTTAAATGGTAACAATTATGTAAAAATAAAAATGATAGTCAAATTATTATTGGTGTTACCACACAATTGTTAAGTAATTCATATTTATCTTATTAAAATCTAAGCACACTTTGAAAATAACTTTGGCATACGTGTTATACTACGGATTATACCACCAAAAATTTGAAACACTAAGTTTTCAATATATGTATTTCCGTCCTTATTTGTTGTCAAAAAATATATAAATATAACTTTATATATTTATTATAAAATTTCATATCAATTTTTTTTAGTATCCTTTAATTTTAAATTTAAATGAATATTTTTGTCATAACAAATGTTTGGACTTCAAATATTAACATTTTTATAATAATATAATATAATAATTCATAATTAGTATTAAAATTATTACCATATGTTATTATGCATTCTATTTTGATTTGCATAATGAAATAACAAAAATTCTGGAATACTAAATATGTTTATTATATAATTATATATGGTGGTTATGTTACAATAAATATTTTAAGGTTTATTCGCTTATTAAAGTATGGTTGAATGATATACAATATATTAAGAAAATTTATTCTTAAAAATATAAAATTATATAATAAAATATAAAATTTAATTTTAAGTATAATTATGTGTTATAAATGGGTTAAAAAAAATAAGTGTAAATAAATCTCTATAATTTATATTGCGAATTATGTTTTCAAATACACTAAATATTATAATTTAAAATATAAATTTAATTTCTATTAGGAGATCTAAAATAAAAATATAAATATGAAACTAAAAATAACACTTTGAAAAAATATTTCTTATCTAATATTTAAAATTTGAAGCAAAAAACTGTATAATAGTAAACCAGTATTCTTGACAAAGTCTAAAAATTTAAATCTACTTAAGATAATTAAAATAAATTATTTCTTTAAAATTTTTAGTTTATATATATATATATGTATATATATATATATATTAAAATCATTAATTATTTACAAAAATGAGAATTCTCGTTAAACAAAATTTGTGAATACTAAAAGTTATTCCATGTTTTAAAATCGCTGGTCAAAGTCAAATAAACATCTTAAATCAGAACTCAAATTTGAATATTTTCCTTTAAAATACATAAATTTTTAAAAGCAGAAATATCTTGATAATAAACTATTTAAAATATTGTTATTGTCTAATAATTTATTTTTTTGAAAAATTATTACAAATACTACAAGTTAAGTATCAATTTTTATTAATATACTAACCTTTGAATTTATGATTTAGTTATTATTATTTAGAGTAATATTAAAGGATTGCGATTGTGTTTATAAATGTTCTATAAATATTTTAAAAACATAGTATTATTTTATCATAAATTTAAGATATTTATAAAAATAATTATTAATTAGTGGTAAATTTAGAAAATTATATCAAATTTGTCGTAGAACTGAAATTTCTCTCTTTTTTGTTAACGTTACCCCACGATTACAATACAATTCCTGTGAACACTATCAATTTTAAATACAACTTATAACTTTCTAAAATTATAGTTTTCATTAATGTTGACGTTACCACACGATTCATATGAAAAATGTGAGTCATAAGTAAATATTTAAACTTTGTATAGTAGAGTTTATATAAAACCAAAATTGTGGTAAAAACATTTCATTAATGTTGGCGTTACAACACAGTTATCACGCGATTTATTGGAACAGTATGAGTCGTAAGTAAAATGTATACATTTAGTAATTTAAAGTTTTTTTTTAACGCGCGTTACCACACGATTACCACACGGTTTATATGAACTTAAAACTTTCTATAGTACAATTATATTAAGAAATTGTATTTTATTAATTTTCATTAATGTTGACGTTACAACACAGTTCAGATGAACAATGTGAGGAGTCAATAGTCATAATAGTTATAGTTTTCCTTAACTTTATACTGTATAAAAAAAATTATACTTTAAAGTTTTTTTGTTAACGTTACCACTTACCACACGATTACCACACGTTTATATGAACTTAAAAGTTTCTATAGTACAATTATATTAAGAAATTGTAGTCAATAGTTCTATACCAAAATTCAATTTAAAAAAAATTATAGTCAAATGATTTTTACCACAATATTGGCGTTATTACACGATTATTACGCGAATCAGTAAATCGGTAATATAAATTTCCTATGGTAAAATTTATATTGAAAAAAAATTACAGTCTAATAGTTTCATTAGTGTTGACTTTACCACATAAATACCCTATCATAGGAACAATATGAATACTAAGTAAAAATTAAAACTTTCTATGATAAAATTTATATAGAAACAAAATTATAGTCTACTAGATTTCATTAATGTTGGCACCAAACGATTGACACGCAATTTATTTGAATATTAATCGACCAAAAAGGAGAGACTATGTGATGTAAATTGCTAGTTGTTTTTTTTTGTTTATATTGAAAATTTCAAATGAAAAGGGTGTCTAACTCTAGTTTCATCCTTTTAAATAATTAAAAATCCAAAAACAAAAATGAAATCATTGATGTTAAAAAGAAAAAAAATCACTGATGTTCTATTTCTGTTGTCAAAGGATTGTCTTTAGTTAAAAATAAAAATTATTATGAGTATTGTGGTAATGCCTATTATGGTAAGTCATAAATATTCTTGTTTCCCAAGCATTACTTATTCTCCAAATTGAATTTTCTCTTTAAATTATTGTATATCTATATATATATATGATTTATTATCAATGAAATAAGACAATCATTTCTCTAATCTTCTATTCTTTACTTACAACAACAAAAAACTTAAATGGTGGCATTGAAAACCTTTTAGTATTATCCAAAAAATATAATAACAAGTTTGTCGTCATCGTCTCTCCCTCTACTTTCCAAACTCATCGTGAGTAATATTTATAGTTACGATTCAGGTTAGAAGTTGGGCAAAATCAAACCTCTCCTCCTCTTTCTTTTTCTTTGTCAACCAAGAAAACCTCTCGTTGATCCCTCTCTTAATGTTCTTCTTTCTTAGAAGATTAATTCAAAGTCATTAACTTTTTAAAATATGGGTGACATCATCGGTCACAACGATAGGGAGATATGGTTACCCTCTCATCTTCTCCAAGATCCCTTGTTTGATCATTCCAACAAGCATCAGGTTTATATCATCTCCTTTCTTTGTCTAAAAAGGTTTATATAATCTTTTTCTATGTTTTACTAATTGATTGTTATCATGTTAGTTTGATCTTATTTTGTACATTGAAATCATCTTGAACTTCTCATTTTTTCTTATACCGTTGCAGAATTCCCTCAAGAACCATAACTACCACCACCATGGCAGCGGTGGATTCCTCCCACCCTGTGCACCTCCTCTCAGAAAAACGTTTCCTTGGGTAATTTATTTAAATGATTTTTTCTCAATATTTTTATTAAGTGATTTTTTTTTGAGCAAATTTAAGTGATATTTTTCTCAATATTTTTATTAAGTGATTTTTAAATCTTTTATCGATACTGTAAGAATACTTTGATTTATCTTACTTTTTTTGTGAATATTTATTTTGTGAAGAACTATAATACAAGAAAACAGCAGCAAAACAGTTGGCAAATGAGTAAAGGAGAAGACCGAATGCAAGCATTTTTCTTGGTTCCGCCGGGCCGCACAACTTCTGGCACCGGAGTTTTTCTTCCGACCACAGCTTCTCATCCATCAAACAAAAAACCAGGTTATTAGAAATGAATTATATACTAATTAGACTCATGAATGTACTGATTATATGTTATAAACTTTTTACTTATGACCAAACGAAAAATTATATTCCCACAGCTTGTTCGCCGGTGTTTCTCCCCGCGCGTGTTGTTCAAGCGCTCAATCTCAACGTTCACAACAACGGTGTTCTTCTTTCTCCCCGTTCAGGTTATTTTTCTGTTCATTATATTTTAATGCATTGCGTTTAATAGAAAATAAAACAATTTTCAATAAATTTTTCTTTTGTTTTGAATATAGGAAATCAAGAAAATGATTCGAGGAAGAAGAGTGAGCTGGTTGAAACACCTACGAACACTGAAGTCGAAACTCCGACTGATCCGCCGGAGAAACTTCTCCCGGAGGAATGGATCTATTGATGGGCACACCATGCATTGACCAATGTTACATATTATTGTGAATTAGTAGAATCAAATAAAAATGAATAAGGAAGATTGTAATGTCGATTCTTGTGTCGTGTATGCTTGCCATTGGGTTAGTGTAATATACCCAAATAAAATCCACCCGTTTGTGACTTGTATATAAAGAAAGTTATCTATTACAGTAATAAATTAATAAGAAAATTAGCATACATTGCTAATTTTCTCTCATCAAAATGATCTAATTGTGACACACTATAGTTTTGAAAGACGAAAATAGGATGTAAAAATGAATTTGCAAGTGAATATTGCAGAACAAAGTGAGCAACGATAGTCTGGTAGACTAGTAGTAAAAGGTTAAATTAGAGGCAACAAAATATATTTGTTGGTTTGGATTCGATTCTTATTAGAATCTAAGTTGTTATTAGTTTGATCAGACAAAAACAAAGCTTTGTTTTAGGTTTCACTAAAGAATTTGCGCTGGGCTAGCTTTGTATATACTATTAGTTGGGCTTTTCCCCGGTCAATAAAAGAAAAAAAAAATATTACATTCAAAGACACTTTTGAGTTTTTAATGACACTTAGAGATACTTAATCCTCCTAGAACACTTTTTTCATAACAGCTCACTTGATCCCCTATATTTATGAATATTTATTCTCCTTCTAGTTACATTCTCAATTAGTTCACGAGTTGGTGAGCGTCAGTTTAAGCGAGAGACACCTCCCCACCACACATCTGGATTCCATTTGGAGGGTCCAGATTTTATTTTCATTTTTTGACCAGACATATATTTGTCCACAATTCTAACCACATGATCTACCTTTTTCTATTTCCCATCGATGGTCCACATTATCTCGTCTCTGTAAAGCATTAACTATGGCTTATCACATTTGATTTTGGTTTTCAGCTAACAAACCGACGGTGAACTCTTCTTCTCCGATTACCGCTGTTAAAAGAAGAGGTTAGTGTTAAACGTTAACCTATCCACAGCGACTTTTATTTAACCTAATTACTCTTCTCATGTTTTTGCAGACTCTTCATGGTCAGCAATTGTACGGTTGTCCCCGGAGAGTGGACTTTCGTAAACTCTATTTGGAAATTTGCAGCCGACAATGACAAGATGTCACGAGTTGTAGCTGTGTGTCCTAGAATGCCTCTCCTTGAACTTCAAGATAACGTCCTCAATGAGTACTTCACGTTCACCGACCAGCCCCCTCCATCTGTCTTGAGTTACTGGCCTCCTAACATCAAAGAGCTTGCAACCGGTCTTACAACCCCCCGGTGATAATGACAAACGATGATGCTGTCTCATACTTCTTTCAACACCTAACTATCTACCCAACCATGAACCTGTTTGTATCTTTTAGCAAAAAGGAGGTGAAACCCCAAGTTAGCCAAGTTAGATTATGCATCCCAATCCTTTGTAATGCAATTGAACACATATATGCATCTTAAAATAACATTACCATGTCTTGCCAGACAAACACTCATGTTAATCTTTTAATAGGTTTTACCTAATTTTCTAGTGTTGTGCGTACGCTATCATTTTCTTTGTACACATGTACGCCACAATATTGATGTACATGTACACCCACGGTTGTACATTCTTTTATATCATGTATCCACGTGTACATTGATTTGCATAATTTTGTATAGACTTAAAATATTATGATATAGATATGCAAAACTTAACTAAAATATAATATAATATGTAAATTGGACATTTGAGCATGAACCAAATATAAAGAGACATTGTCCATGACATTATGTCCATGAATTTTTATCTATGCTTTTATTATTGAAAGATCGTGTAATCATTACCTAATTCCTTATAGTTGTACACATGTACGGTATCATTTTCGTTGTACACATGTACGCCACAATCTTGATGTACACATGTACACGCACGGTTGTACACACCTTTACATCATGTATCCAAATACATCGATGTGCATAATTTTTTTATGGACTTAAAATATTAAGATAGAGATATATAAAACTTAACTAATATAAATTATAATATGTATATTGGACATTTGAGCATTGACTAACTATAAAGAGAGATTGTCCATGATGATATATCTATGGAAGTTTATCTATGTATTTATTGTTGAAAGATGGTGTCATTATTAGCCCATAAATTATTAAGTGTATGTGTTTTCTTTTTTTATAACACTGATAATAGTTCGAGCCGACATGTTTCGTAACATACAAAGAAAGAACATGAAAAGGATAAGTGTCAATAGACACCATGAGAGAAAAGAAAGGGAAATCTCACCAAAGCCTTCTACACTTGAGCCTCCAAAGCAAGTAGGTGATGAAGCCAAACTAGACCTCCTTGAGCGATATAAGATTGGTGGCGCAAATCACGAGTGACACTCACCGCAATTGACGTTGCTGACTCATTGCGGACAGAACGGACATGGTCTACACTCCAACAATCTATCCGTGCGAGTAGAAATATGATATTGTGGCATAAATGGCTGAAGATATTGTTGTTATCTGGATTTGTGATAACTCCATGAAGGCTTTCAGACGCTGTTTCGAAGATTATATTTGAGAAACGAAGATTATGCATACATTCCACCGCCCAAAAAAGAGCCCATAACTCTGCTTCAACTACTGTACGCATACACGAGTAAGATCGACGACTATGCATGATTGTAGACCCATGTTCATCACGTAGAATCCATGAAGCACCAGAAAGATGGTTCGCATGTAACCATGAGGATCCAACATTACATTTAAGGAATCCATGTGGTGGTTTTTTCCATCCTCTCTGATCCGTCTCATCAGCCTCACTATTACCTTCCGTCTTGCAAGAAAAAGTATCAAACCATGTGGATTCTTCTTCATAAGCTCGTTTTGCAATGAACGACGGTGGTAGAACTTTATTTTCAAAAGTAAAGGCATTCCTAGATTTCCAAATTTCCCATAACAACCATGGGAAGACATTCCATGTATGTATATCCGTTCCAGAACTTGAACCCATCTTGATTAAATGTACAAAATTTAAAAAAGTAGAGTTCCGCGAAAAGCCACCTAAGGGAGTAGGAAAATTAGATTGCTCCCATGTATTACGGGCTTTCTCACATGTAAACAGAACATGACAAATACTCTCCTCACCATTACCACACACTGAGCATGTGGGGTCGACCGGAATACCCCTAGTATTCAACCGTTGTTTGACCGCCAATGCACCAGACAAAGCACGCCACATAAAATGTTTTATTTTTGGTGGGGTTTTAATTTTCCACAACTTCCTCCATAATTGTTTTTCAATTGGTGTCAGCGATTGTCCCTGTCGTTGATCAATATCTACTAAAGCCTCCAGTAACTTATACCCACTCCGCGTTGAGTATGAACCATTTGGCGTGAAACCCCATTTAATTGAGTCATCCAATAGAATTGAAGGTTTTAAAAGAAGTATCCGTTGCACGTCCTGTGGAGTAAAGGTTTGATGGAGCAAATTAATATCCCATTGACCTGATCCCTCAATAATCAAATCTGAAACTTTTAACGCTAGGTTTATGGAACTTCCGTCACGATACACTGGGGGTCTAGGAATTGTATCGATAATCCAATTTTCCGCCCATACATTAGTGTCCGCTCCATTACCAATATGCCGGTATAATCCTTTTGTAAGTAATTCCCTGCCATGCATGATACTTCGCCAAGCATACGATGGTCGAGTCCCCATTCCGCAATCCATGAAACTTCCATTTTTAAAATATTTTCCTTTAAGAATCCGAGCAACCAAAGAATCCGGGTTATTCCAAATTCTCCACGCTTGTTTCCCCAATAACGCCTGGTTNTACCAATATGCCGGTATAATCCTTTTGTAAGTAATTCCCTGCCATGCATGATACTTCGCCAAGCATACGATGGTCGAGTCCCCATTCCGCAATCCATGAAACTTCCATTTTTAAAATATTTTCCTTTAAGAATCCGAGCAACCAAAGAATCCGGGTTATTCCAAATTCTCCACGCTTGTTTCCCCAATAACGCCTGGTTGAAGCGACCAATGTCATGAAACCAAGACCCCCTTGCTCTTTCGGTTTACATAGTTTTTCCCATGAAACCCAGGGTATTTTCCTTTTTTTGTCCCCACTACTCCACCAAAACTCTATTATCGCACTCGTAATCCTTTCACAAAGACCTTTCGGTAACCGAAAAACAGACATAGCATATATTGGGAGAGCTAAGGCCACTGACTTTATCAAAACTTCCTTGGCACCCTTTGATAAAGTTTTCGAGTACCAGCCTTGTAACCGACCCTCCAGTTTTTCTTTTATAAAATTTAGGAGGTCTTTTTTCGAACCTTGAAAACACTCTGGGAGCCCAAGATAAGTACCTTCTCCGCCTTCCTTTTCTATACCAAGGACCTGTTTTATGGCTTGCTTCGTATCTGCTGCTATCGATTTCCCAAAGATAATAGATGATTTCATGGGGTTTATCATCTGGCCAGAAGCATCACCATAAACTTTCAGACCTCTCACAATTGCTTCACTATCCCTAATTGAAGCTTCACACAACAACAAGCTATCGTCAGCGAATAATAAATGATGCACCGAGGGACTATCTTTAGCCAACTTTATCCCATGTAATTCCCCTTTTGCCTCAGTTCTATTTAACACGTGAACTAAAGCTTCCGCACACAAAATGAACAGAAAAGGAGATAAAGGATCCCCTTGCCTAATTCCCCTTTCTGGACGAATGAACCCATGTGAACGGCCATTAAGTAATATCGAGAACGTGACGGTAGTGATACATAACATTAACCAAACAATCCATTTACGGTCGAAACCTATTTTTTCTAGTAGCACTTCAATAAAATTCCATTCTACTCTATCATAAGCTTTTGACATATCAGTCTTGATTGCCATACTTTCTTTACCAATTTTATCATTCGTTCGCAATCCATGAACCAACTCATGGGCTATGATAACGTTATCCGTGATTAACCTGCCACCAACGAAAGCCCCTTGAGTCTCAGATATAATATTAGGCAAAACTCCCTTCAAACGATCACACAAGATGCGGGATATGATTTTGTATTGAACACTGCATAAACTAATAGGCCTCATATCCTTCATTTCCGTAGGATGTAATATCTTTGGTAACAAAGATAACTGCGTATGATTCCACTCTGCAGGAAGGATGGCTGTTTTAAAAAAACCTTGAACGTCCTCTGCAATTTTTTGCCCCACAATATGCCAATATTTCTGATAAAA